GGAGCAAAGAACACAACACAGCCTCGATGGAACAGGAACCAGAACTCCTTCGAGGAGGGAGAAATAGCTGAAAACACCACTTTGGAAGAAGGTCTTTGGTCTTTGGAAGAACCATCTGTAAGGAAGGAGCTGGAGGGAGAGGTGCGAGCAATACAAGGGATAGTGTGGTTCTGAAACAGTGGTTCCAAACTTTAGCTTCCCAGATGTTCTCTTGGCAGAGTGTAGAAATTAAGTGGATTAAAAAAACCTCTAACTACACAGCAGATAAAATTTCAGGGACCAACAAAGCAGAACTAGCTTCAATCCTCCCCCACAGTAGACCAGCCCTTGTTGGTTCATTCTCCTCAACTGGCACTTACTGTCTCAATAGATCCTAGTAAGAGGAATAAATAAAAAGGTTTGCATTTACTTATAGGTCTGAATCAATCAAAAACAACATATTGTAGAAAAACAACGACTGGTTACATGAACAGAGCTAAACTGACTAATTAGCTTCAGGGCTGACTAACTGTGTGACTCTTAGCTGGTCCCAGATCATGTTCTTTGCATGTAAAAGGTTCCATGTTCGGTCTTTGACAATTTTTTAAAAAGGATCAGAAAGCAGCATGTGGTTTAAACCTTTGCCAGTCACAAGAAAAAATATTGTGCTTGATGGGCTAATAAACTAATTTCTCCCTGAAGGCCTCTTGCTCTGTGCTTTCAGAGCCCCTGAATAACCAATCACGTATCCGCAGACAGCAATTATTGCGGTAATTGACCAGTCAGCAGGAAATATGTCCTACATGTACAAAAACGTGGGCAACGGCAAATCCAGCCATTCTAGGTTAAAAGAGTTAGGGAATAAAATAGCTCATGTTTGTTGAATTCATGTCTTGGTTAATAATGCAAAAGAACTTTTGGAATGATAGACAAGGGGAGGGAAAGGTGTGGTCTGATGAACAATATCATCCATAAAATCTGCCGCCTTTTTCTCCTTGCTTTTCAAATGAGAATCACAAATTCCCGCTTGGAATTTTGGCAAAACTTGCAAGAAAGCAGGGACCTCTTGAGGAATTTCCTCGGACCCTTAAGGGCGGTGGTTCGTCATGACTGGACATCAGCTGAACCTTCTCACTAGGAGACTCAAAAGGCAGCATGTCCATTGGAACCAATGAAATTGAAGCGCCAGACTTGTAGAATCTGTGGTTTCTTAAATCAATAGTCCCCCAAATTCCCAAACACAGAAGGGATGTCAGGATAAGCAGGAGACTCCTCATAGAAACATAGAATAAATCTAAGTTAAAGCAGATCCAATAGAGGGTCCTCCAATTTTCTCCCGAGTGCCTCCAGCGCTGGACGCTCTCTACTTATTGAAATCTTGGTTCCGTCGTCCTACTGCTCTAACAGTTGATATTTTTCCTGATATTCAGCCAAAATCTGGCTTCCAGTAGCCTGAGCCCATTATTATGCGCCCTGCAGTTTCTTCATCACGATTGAAGCTTTTCTTTTATAAATCCTTTTCCACTTGTCAAGGGCCTTCTTAGCTAAAAATGGAGAGGGGGGCAGCTTGTAAAAAAGGCCTTGCCATCACAAAGTGCTGTTATGGCCATCTGAATCTTTGAAAGGATGTGCCCATTTATACAGCCTGAAACAGCATTTGGTGTACCTGCTGCAGCACCACATGGTTGGCTCGTATTCCCTTGAATGGATACTGTGACCTCCAAAAATGGGATTATTTTGTTTCTGTAGCTGGAATATGGCTCCATCCGCCTGGATCTGGAGTCCAGATTCCACTCTGTAGAGAATACATCCCACCAGATGACTGAGATCTTGGAAGAGCAGAAGACAGATGAAGGTGTATTCAACGTAAGCACTACCTCCAGAGTTTAATTAAATTGTCTGTTCCCTTGTCTGTCAGCCTTCCCTTTTCTGTCAAAAAAAGTCTTCTTCTTCAAGTGCCTTTCCTCCCCTTGCTGGATCGTTCATGGGAAATAGATCAGCAATCCAGTTTTGAGCTTAGAAGGCGCTCACCCCATCCTGCTAAACCTTGCTTCATGTTCCCCACTCAAATTCCCCCCTCCCCTTGAAATCTTCACTTCATCATCATCATCTTAGAACTGCTGGTCTGGAAGGGACGACCCTCAGGATCATCACGTCCAGCCCCTGTCAAGGAGGCCCCGGGGGGGGGAGGGAATCAAACTCCCAGTCTTTGGCTAGTCTAAATCTCTGAGCTATCCAGAAGTTCACAGGATTCCCCATTTCTTCTTTAAGTATGATTCTGTGAGCCTTTTAACACAGTCACCTGAACCTGGGAAACACAGGGCGGGAAATTTTAAATGATCTTCAACAGCATGTGATGTTTTGCATATAATGTTTCCCTGTCTAAAATGGAAATGACAGTATTGGTCTGATTCTTTGTCCCAACTAGAGTAGACCTGCGGGTTCAATGGGGTTGACATCTGTGTCAACTTACCGTCCAATGGGTCGATTTCGCATGGGGCTATCAAACATCATAAATCTCTGAGCTATCCAGCAGTTCACAGGATTCCCCATTTCCTCTTTAAGTATGATTCCGTGAGCCTTTTAACACAGTCAGGGACGTGGTGGCGCTGTGGGCTAAACCGCAGACGCCTGTGCTGCAGGGTCAGAAGACCAAGCAGTCGTAAGATCGAATCCACGCGATGGAGTGAGCGCCCGTCGCTTGTCCCAGCTCCCGCCAACCTAGCAGTTCGAAAGCATGCAAATGCGAGTAGATAAATAGGTACCACCTCGGTGGGAAGGTAACAGCGTTCTGTGTCTAAGTCGCACACGTCCAGCCCCTGTCAAGGAGGCCCCGGGGGGGGGAGGGAATCAAACTCCCAGTCTTTGGCTAGTCTAAATCTCTGAGCTATCCAGAAGTTCACAGGATTCCCCATTTCTTCTTTAAGTATGATTCTGTGAGCCTTTTAACACAGTCACCTGAACCTGGGAAACACAGGGCAGGAAATTTTAAATGATCTTCAACAGCATGTGATGTTTTGCATATAATGTTTCCCTGTCTAAAATGGAAATGACAGTGTTGGTCTGATTCTTTGTGCCAACTAGAGTAGACCTGCGGGTTCAATGGGGTTGACATCTGTGTCAACTTACCGTCCAATGGGTCGATTTCGCATGGGGCTATCAAACATCATATACAGTCGGACCCCCCCTATCCATGGGGAAAGTATCTGCTGATTCACTTACCCGCTGTCTGGAAATACTAAATAAAAAAACCCAGAAATAGGTTTTTATATGGATTTCCAGGATGTATTTACCAGAACTGGACAGGAGAGGGGGCCAGAGATGATCCAATATATAGTGTCGGATACTTCCATGTGTTTCAGCATCCATGCCGGGGGTGGGGGAGAACACTTGGAACCGATCCCCCCACGAATACTGTAGCGCTACTGTAGTTGTCTGTTAAACTGAGATTACAGCTTAGAAATCTGTTCAAGCAGCCCTTCTTTGAGACCATCTGCTCCCACTCCTGAATTTAGCAACTTGACTTTGAGTTCATTGAGGCTGAAAGAGACCAACTTTTCCAACTCCAAAGTTACAAGATGTACAAAACGGTGGAAAGGCCGCACCTGGGGTATTGTGTACAGTTCTGGTCACCGCACCTTAAAAGCCACATTGTGGAACTGGTATTACAAGATGGACGCTCTCCTTCCACCTCTCACTGGATGGAGCGGAAGGTGCATGGGCCCGATCCGTGGTTGCGCTCCGGTGTGCCTCTTTGCCTCTTGTAAGATGGGCTGGCTCAGAGCTGCTGCTCTGTTGTCGGGTCCTTGCTTCTTCTGTTTCTCTAGATGCCTCCGAGTCCCGACCTGGAGGTGGAAGCTCATTCTTCAGAGCAGGCGTCCAAAGAGCTGCCGGGGCCTCTGAAGAAAAGACGTGGCGAGCGCAAGAAGGAGAAGCAAGACAGCCAAGTAAGGGAAAGGAAGGGGAGAGCCTTGGAATCCCCACCTTTTCAGGTTAGGGTTTCAGTGGAAGGGTGTGGGGTAAAGGGAAGAGGGTCTGCACACGTTCCCTCTCGAATCATCAGCTGGGGATCCAAAAGGTGCCTGCTTTCAACTGGGCATCTGCAGAAGGTGGTTTGATTTATGATTCACCAGATGTTCAGAAGAGGGAACCAACATCTATCTGTGTAGCCTGCATAATTAAATTGTAAACCGCCCAGAGAGTGCTTGAAGCGCTATGGGCGGTATATAAGCAGCACACTTTATCTATCTATCTATCTATCTATCTATCTATCTATCTATCTATCTATCTATCTATCTATCTATCTATCTATCTATCTATCTATCTATCTATCTATCTATCTATCTATCTATCTAGCACAATTCGTTGCTGTGCTCATTGGGGCATTCTGAAAGTTGAAGACACGGGCCGCTAACAACTGGTAGCAATGTGCACGTGCGCATAGCTATTTCACCATACTAGTTATGGTGCAAGAGTTCAGGCAGGTTGAAAATGACTGAGATAAAATTATTCTTTGCTTAGGTGAGATTTGCGCGTGCGCATAGCTATGGTGCCATAGTTCAGGTGCAATAGTTCAGGCAGGTTGAAAATGACTGGGATAAAATTATTCTTTGCTTAGGTGAGATTTCCCAGGGTTGATTTTCTGCGGATGGTCCTGTTCCTGCACCCACCCGAGGCAAAGCTGGTGGATGCAGCTGGGTCCTTTCACCCCACTTTAGTTTGACTGACCTCCCCCCTCCAGATGTATGGGCAGGGACTACAACTCCCATCATTCCCAGTCTGTATGGTCGGTGATGGCAGATGTGATCCAGCCAGAGGCCCGGCTCTCCATTCTTGGGGTGAGGCCCTGGCTCTTTTGTGGTGGTTTCGCTGCGTCAAGGGTGATGTTTTTTTTTGACTGTTTGTACTTTGCAGCTGACGGTTAGAATCCATACCAAATTTATTCAGTACAAAATTCCCAAGAGATTTTACATTCTTGTGAGCTCTTTCTGAAAAAAAAAGAAAGAAAATCAAGACAGCAATCCCCATGTTTTTACATGCATTCTGACAGTTGCCAGGGAAATAATATCTTTTGCAAATCTTTGACCACTTTTATGTAAAGCATAGCGAAAGACGGGGGAATATATTTTGACTCCATTATTTGAGATATTCTGTCTCTTGATCATTTTCAAAGGCTCCGGTCATGAGTCAGAATCCACCCACCTCTGAGCTCTTTCCCTGGATGTGAGACTCGAATGGAGGACGGTGGGTGTAAAAACTTAGCAGTTTTACATCACGTCCCTCTGGGTCAGCTGCTCCCAGGAAGGACCAGCCAGGGTGATCTTTGATGCTTCTCAGCACCACCCCAAAAATGGCCAGTTTACCAATGTGAGCAGAGTAGGAGGGGATCCAGAGAGCCAGTAAGGATTTGGCTGGCTGCAAGTAACTGATGTTGTTTCTGATGTTGTTATGCGCCATCAACTCCAACTTCTGGTGACCCTTTGAATGAGCCATCTCCAAAATCCCCTGTCCTCAACAGTTCTGCCCAGCTCTTGTAAACTCAAAAGTTGTGGTTTCTTTGATGGGCTACAGTCCTGATCAGTTCTTTTAAACTCAAAAGTTGTGTTTTCTTTGATGGGTAAATCCATCTCATACTTGGTCTTCCTCTTTTCCCAGCACTATCGTCTTTTTCTGGAGAATCCTGCCTTCTCATGATGTGCCAGCTTCAGCATTTTGGCCTCCAGAGATAGTTCTGGCTCGATTTGCTCCAGGACCCATTTGTCTGACTTTCTGGTAGTCCAGGGTATCTTCAAAGCTTTCCTCCAGCCCCACATGTCAAATAAATATTTTTTCCCCTACCAGCTTTCTTAACGGTCCAGCTTTCACACCCCTACATGGTGATCCGAAATACAATGGGTGAGTTTGGTCAAATCTGCAGGGACACATCCATACACTTGATGATCTTTTAGAAAACTCCTTTATCGCTACCCTTCCAAGTCTTGGTTTTCTTCTGATTTCTTGGCTCAAGGCTCCATGATTGAACTGAGGTATATACAAAATCTCTATTTCAATTGCTTCCTTGTCATTGTTAAAATCGCGTAGCACGATTGAGTTCTCATGCAAAGTCCAGCCATCAGCCTAAAAGGCCATTGAGTCCAGCCTCCCTGCTCAAGACAGGAATCCAAATCAAAGCGGATCGGACAGATGGTTCTCCAAGTTTCTCTCGAAGGCCTCTCCAGCGTTGGGGCGCTCACCACCTCCCAAGTTGATGAGTTCCTTTGTCGTACTGCTCTAACAGTTAAGAGGTTTTTCCTGTTATTCGGTCTAAAAAATCCTGGAAAGGATCACCATACATTAGATTTGACTGGATGGCAAATCCTTGTCAAGGCGTTTCCCAAACTGGACATGTTCTTGTGAGTGAGGGTTGTCTCCTCGGAGCTGTCCACAGTTCTGATTCTGAGCAGCCAGCGATGGGAACCCTTCTCGGCAGTAGCTGAAGGCCATCTCAGGTTCAAGCTAGACAATACCAGGGATAGAATTTTTCTCTTTTACAAACGACATCCATATGTTGACTGAAATTGCACCAGCTAGAATTCTGGGGACTTTAGCTATCCCTCTTAAAAAAGCCCACTCAGGCGTTGGATATAACCCACTGCTGGTGTATAAATGAGGACAAAATGCCTCCATTTCTGAGTTTCATAACAGAGGGACCAGCTGAGCTTTGCGACACTGCTAAGCATTAGGGGTATTGTAGTCTCCCCTACTCATTATGCTCCACACAGAGTGTCTCGAAACTACAATATTCTGAATGTTTTGCCATGCCACAGAGTTTAGCCCTCCTTTGCCAGTCCTTCTACAGGGACGTGGTGGCACTGAGGGTTAAACCGCAGAAGCCTCTGTGCTGCAAGGTCAGAAGATCTGCAGTCGTAAGATCGAATCCACGCGACGGAGAGAGCACCCATTGCTTGTCCCAGCTCCTCGCCAACCTAGCAGTTTGAAAGCATGCAAAATGCGAGTAGATAAATAGGTACCACCTTGATGGGAAGGTCATGGCGTTCTGTGTCTAGTCGCACTGGCCACGTGACCACGGAAACTGTCTTTGGACAAACACTGACTCTTTGGCTTGGAAACAGGGATGAGCATCGCCCCCTAGAGTCTGACATGACTGGACAAAAATTACCTTTACCTATTCTCATTTACGTACCAGCTGTAAATTATATCAAATACTTGAAAGGGCTTTTGCGTGTGTGTGTGTGCGTGCGCACACTAAAGCTCCCGGAGTTCTAACTGAGGCAATTCCCGCAGATGTCTGGGTGCTGAGGTTAAAAAATAATATATAAATATCCCACCCAAGACAACGCAGGTAGCACGTCATTGCAAGCATACCTCCTGAAGAGGTAAACGGCATCCTGGTAGTAAAGCCTATGTCCTGTGACTCAGCTCCTCCTCTCGCATGCTGGTGAGTCGTGTTTTCTGATTGGTCACTGAGAAAATAAACACAGGCTTCGTTTGCATAGTGTGGCTGCCCAGGTACGAATCTTTCCTGTAATCTCAGCATCAAGGGAAGCGGTTGTACAGGATCCAGGATTCTGGGAGCTGTAGTCCAAGACATATTTCCCCCTCCCCAAGCTTTGTCTTTTGCAGAGTTTCAAGGTCTACCCCATGCTCTGTAAAGTTTCCTGTAGAAGGGCCGTTCTGCTCTGATGGTCAGGGAGAACAATTTTGGAAGTCCCTGGCAAAATTTAATATCCGTTTCAGATCTTCCCCTTGCCAACCATCAACAGTTATAAATCTTCCCTTGCCTTCAGGGTGGGAATGGCAGATCAGAACTGAGCGCCGGGTGCGTGAACCCCTCCCTTCTCCTCCATCTCTTCTTTGGCTCTCATTTTGAAGCCGTTTCAATAAACTTCAACAGCCACTGGTGGGCAATGCCAAGCGTAAGGAATTACAGCCAGGTGGTGTGCCTTAATTGATGAACACTTATAATTAAACCGTGGGGCAATGCTTTTGCCCATAATAAGAACAATAATCAATGGTTACAAAAATAGGCTGGGCAATCATGGCTGGTGGACCACTTTTTCTCAATTAGCATCTTTGCCATGTGCTTATCCCCCACCCTCCCCCTGTTTGCAAAAGAAGGAGACAGAACCTGAACATGGGGAGCAGATGCTCTGCATGTTGAAGTCCCTTTTTAACAGATCGGGAAGTTTGTTTTGAAAGATTGTAGGAAGCAGAGGAGTCAAAAACATTGGTCCCTTTGAACTGTCGTGCTGGAGGAGAGCTTTTCGGGTAACCCTGGATAGCCAGAAAGACAAGCAAGTGGGTCCTAGACCAAAATCAGGCCTGAACGATCTCTAGAGGCAAAAATGTTGACAGCTGAGGCTGTCCTCCTTTGAGCACAGCATGAGAAGGAAGGGTTATCTGGAAGAGACCATAATGCTGGGAAAGGTGGAAGGCAGCAGGAAAAGAGGAAGACCCAATATGGGATGGGCAGACTCATCCTATAAAGGAAGCCACAGGGTTGAGTTTGTAAGAGCTGAGCAGGGCTGTTGAGGACGGGATTTTTGGAAGATAGCTTTATCCCAAGAAGCCCTAAATTGGAGGTGACTTGATGACAGGTAACAACAACCAAGGAAGCAGAGCTAGAAGAATGTCTGATTCAAACAATGCATGATATTGATCATCTTTCATCCTCACCCCACCCCCAGCACTGAGGGCCATCCCTCCATCCTTCCTTGCCTAAATGTTGACCCCTTCCATGGGCTGGAATCAAACACCCACCCTCTCTTCTCTTCAGCTATGGTGAGCCGATGGGAGATGTCTCCCCAAGCATCTGGAAGGACCGACATTCCCTAATCCTGACCCTAAAGCCATTCCTTGAGTTGTAATATCGAATGGGAGAGGCAGTGACAGATTTTACTTTCTTGGGCTCCATGATCACTGCAGATGGTGACAGCAGTTACGAAATTAAAAGATGCCTCTTCTTGGCAGGAAAGCAATGACAAATCTAGACAACATCTTAAAAAGCAGAGACATCACCTTGCCAACAAAGATCCACATAGTCAAAGCTATGGTTTTTCCAGTAGCGATGTATGGACCTGAGAGCTGGACCATAAAAAAGGCTAACCACCGAAGAATTGATTATTTTGAATTGTGGTGCTGGAGGAGGCTCTTGAGAGTCCCCTGGACTGCAAAGAGAACAAAGCTATCCATTCTGAATGAAATCAACCCGGAGCGCTCCCTGGAAGGACAGATCCTGAAGCTGAGGCTTCACTACTTGGGCCATCTCATGAGAAGACTGCTTGGAAAAGATCTTGATGTTGGGAAAGTGTGAAGGCAAGAGGAGAAGGGGACGACCGAGGATGAGAATGGTTGGACAGGGTCACCGAAGCAACCAACATGAATTTGACCAGACTCTGGGAGGCCGTGGAAGACAGGAGGGCCTGGCGTGCTCTGGTCCATGGGGTCACAAAGAGTCGGACACGACTTAATCACTAAACAAAAAAAAATGGGAGATCATTGTGAAGAAGGAAGTCCACATTTTGGTCTCTGCTATTATCCTTGTTGTTTCCCCAACGGCTGTCCCCAGTCTGCCTTTAGTCACATGGAAGGGAAACGTGTTTCCTGGTTGATCTAAAAGCGGGGGTAGAGGAGCCATTGGGAAGTTCAATAAAAGCAGAGTTCACTTTCTTTGTTTGCTGATGGAATGGAACTGCTGTCATCCGCAACGGAGTATTTTTCCAAACTGCCCTTTTCACAATTGTGCCTCCACTGATGACGCGCAAACGATGCGCTTTGTAACTTCATTTTTAGAAGAGGTGGCCCTGTGAGTCTCTGCAGACCTGTCGGGCAAAATCCAAAGATTTTTTTCCCCCATAGGCCTGACGAAGTGGACTGGCATTAAAATATAGCAGTTAGTCTTCAAGGTGCCACCTGGTTTTCTTTTGAAACTTCTGTTTCACTCTGTAGGAGGCAGCAGAGTGTCCTCTTCTTCCTCCTCACCCTCCCTGTTCTTTTGCTTAACACCTTTCATGTTTTCTGCCTCATGTCCCACATTTAGCCATAAATCCGCCCGTCTAAACACCGAGCCCCGTGGCTGGCGATGCATGCGGCTTGTGGAAATTGTGTGTCACAGAGGGAACCCGAGAGAGGACACCGCCAGGCTTTTTGTTAAACCCACGCAAATGGCTTCCCCTTGCTGCTCCTGTTTCCTGTCACATTGCTGAACACACACAAGAAAGCAAGACGAATTTTGGGAAGCTGAAGGTTTCAAAGAACTTGCGGTTCCAGACATTTCGTCCAAGAAAAGCCACACACAGCTGTGACCCTTGTTTATCATATCACTACACCTAGGAGTTTTCAGAGGGGTAGCCATATTCAACTGCTGCAGTATTTGTTTGTTTGTTTGTTTGTTAATTCATTCATTCATTTATTTATTCATTTGTTTATTCATTCATCCATTCATTGCTTTGTTTGTTTAATTAGTCATTCATTTGTTCGTTTGTTCATTTGTTTATTCATTTATTTATTTGTTCATTTGTTTATATATCCATTCATTCATTCATTCCGTTCGTTCGTTCGTTTGTTCATTTATTTATTAGTTTATTTGTTTGTTTTTTTATAGGCCGCCTTTCTCCCCCAAAAAAGGGACCCAATGTGGCTCACAATATTAAAAAGAATAAAACCAAGAACGTAAAAAGTTATGCATTTTTTTTAAAAAAATGGAATGATGTGCTAATTAAAATACAAGTTTTATTTGGCATAAACATTTGGGAACGAGGGGGGCCACTGCCTCTGAAAGGAGTGGGCTTCCCTCTCTGCAAAACCTCGTGCCAAATTAAACTCTCTTTGGTCAAGTCAATGAGATACAGTATTTGGCTTTTTTCCTAATGAAACTTTTGCTCCTTCCTTGACGTGTAAAACTGGGCAGCCAGAACAGATCCCGGGGGCTGAGAAACTGCTTAGGAACTCAGCCTTCATTTCTTCACAAACAGGATCCCCATTTTGTGGTGTGGGGCTTCCCTTTGAAAAGTTAACAATTATTTTGTCAAACGGAGTCATCCTTTCCTAGACATCTTCCACAGTCATCTTTGCTCTGTCCTGTTGTGGTGGCCCCAGGGCCACACCTGTGGCATATCCAGGATTTCTGTGCCGAAAATCAAGGCTGGGAAACCAGGTGGCTCCCCAGATGTGGCTAGACCTCAGCTAGCTTCAGGCCCAGCCCACCTGGCCCATGGTAGGGGACGATGGGACAAGTCATCATCTAACCTTTGGAAGGCCAGATGTTCTCCTCCGTCCTTGAAATCATCCATCCCTTTTGTCCTGCTATTCCAGCTGCGTGACCTCCCTCCTGAAATCTTTCTGCTTCTGCTATTTGGCTCGTGCATTCCTGTCCCTCTTGGTGGGAATTGGCTGAAATCTTCTGGCCGTTGTATTCCAAAAAGGAACTCTTTCTGCCTCTGTTTACTCCTCCACCATCCACACCTTCGCTTGTCAAGCTCCATCGCTTCTGCCAAACAAAAGGTCCCCAGGGAAAGAGGGACGGCAGCAGGAAAAGAGGAAGACCACAAATGAGAGGTATTGCCACAATAAAGGAAGCCATGGGCTTGAATTTGGAAGAGCTTGAACAAGATGAACAAGATAGGTAGGACCTTCTGGAGGTTGCTAATACATAGGGTCACCATATGTTGGAAACCACATGATCGCTTGCAACAACACAACAACAGTCCAAAGCACCTGGAAGGCGTTGGATTGAAGATGGCCATCCAGCTGTACTAAATGCCTAAGCGTTTCGCCTTTGCACCTTCTGCAGTGTTGATTTCCCTCTCCTTCCTCTGCTGTCTTTCTTGTGTTGAATCATAGCTTGCAAGCTGTCCAGGGCAGAGTCTTTGATTCCCCCCTCCAAAAAATGCCACATTTGGAGGTGTTGCTTCATTATTACGATGATTAGTAGTCATAGTAGACTTTTGAAAACCACAGGGCTCCGAAGAAACCCGGCCAGTTAAGTATTCTGGGGTGTTACAGTAGGAAGGTGTAAGTTTTCCAAACTCTCTGGTAGCAGCTGTTTGCTGTTCTTGTCTCAGCCCTTCTGCTTATGAACGAATGGTGGGATTTGGGCCAATGGTTTGAAGCTACGATGCCAGGCTCTTGACAATGTGGCAGCTTCCAAACTAATCCTCCTCCAGGAAATGCTAACCCAGGCCTTCCTTCACCAAAGCTGTCTTGCTTCACACAGGAGAACGCTGGGGCCGCCGATGTTCCCGAACAAAAAGTCAACCTCAGGGTCCGAAGGACGGTGGAGGAGCAGACCCTCACGGTAAAAAACTTCACTCTCCTGCCTCCCAGTCCACCAGGTCTTGAGGATCATGCAGGAATTAACGTACCCGTGCTGCGGTTGTTGCAGGTTCGTGGCCCTGGGGCTCTGGGACTGCGGGAACCCCTCGTGGGACACCATCCGAACAATGGGGTGAGTACCAGGCGACATGCAGAGAGAGTCGGGAAGGGACATGGTTTTGGGTGAAGGGCACCTTCTTCAGATGCTGAACATCCCAGGTGGTACATCTAGGTAAGGCCTGAAGAGAAATCCTGGGGAGATGCTCCCAGCCAGCGCAGCCAGAGCTGTTCTTGGAAAAGTTACCTTTACAAATTAAAGGAGCGTCACATGCTTGAAAAGCAATGATTTCTTACAATTTAGACAGGGTGCCAATAATTTTGGCCAGTGCATTTTTGGGTTTCTGTGTGGTATTGTATCAGATTTGACTTCTCTGGTTTTTTGTGTTGTTCCAACGCAAACTGAAGAAATGAACATGTGAGTACCAAAACATTTGCAACGGCAACAGTTTTCTGAGAGAAGGGTCGCATTTCCAGACAGAACTGCAAGGGTGCCAATATTTTTGGCCATGACTGTACATCTTAGTGACAAATTGTGACAGGCTAAAAAAATCTACATAGGCATTTGCAACCAAATCAGGGTTTAACAGTACATGCCTACATAGGCTTCTTAACCTGTGGCAGACTTCTTTCTTTCTTTCTTTCTTTCTTTCTTTCTTTCTTTCTTTCTTTCTTTCTTTCTTTCTTTCTTTCTTTCTTTCTTTCTTTCTTTCCTTCCTTCCTTCCTTCCGTCCTTCCTTCCTTCCTTCCTTCCACCCATCATTAAGTCCTTCCTTCCTTCCTTCCTTCCTTCCTTCCTTCCTTCCTTCCTTCCTTCCTTCCTTCGGCAGCTTCCATCATTAAAAGACAATATTAATATATCCAAATACTAAAAAGGATCAAACAGATCCCATACAAAAAAGGTAAGCTCCCCGTGTCTGTCTGATGTCTCCAGCAAGTGACTCTGAAATATGGTCCTGCCTGGAGGGATAATGTTTGCAGTGGAGAAATGACACAAGGTCTGACCCTCGGTAGATGGTAATAAGTAATGTTTGAAGCTCTCAGACACATGCCGCTTCTCCTCGTGTTTCAAAGAAGGAAACGCGCCAGGCAGGAAGCCCCTCTACATTGCATCTGCATTGGAACAATAAGGCGTGGGCAAAAAAAAAATGACATGGAATAGAAAGGAAGGAAGTGTCTTGGGTGTGTAGGCGTGACTTTTGTTTATTTCAAGGGTGGGCCACAGGCGGCCCGTGTCCTGATTTGAAAATGTCTCCACATGCCATCAGTTTAGCAATTTATCCTGACAGCCTGGAGAAAGAGGGGGAGGGAGGGAGAGGAAGAGAGAGTCCAAAGCAGGTATTTAAAAAAAAAAACAAGAGACGGGGGTGTTATCAGGTTGCCTCACGTGGATTATCCCAAAGAAACGTGGAAACCTCAAAAGAAAAGAAAAAGATTTCCCACCCCGAATTTATTCTGTAATGATTTATCTTATTTTCCCAGACAACCAATAAATACAGCTAAGGAAAACAACGTTGGTACTGAAAGGCTCACCCACCTGCTTTTTTTTTTCAGTGACATAGATATCAATTCCTGGTGGGTCCAAAGAATTGGTTTTTGTGGGAGAGTTTTTAATTTTTGGTTACATTCCTTTAGCTGTGTAGCAGACAGGTGGAGGGTCATGGAGCAGAATAGCTTCAAATCCAGAGAAGTCCACCCCTTCACTCCTTGACTAGCATTTACAGTCTCAATAACTCACCCAGAGACATTTGTAAGGAGAATGAGAGATTTCATAAAGTTACAGCTGAAGGGATCAAACGGCAAACTTACAAACGTGGATGCTTTCAGCAAGCAGACTTCAACAGACTGACCGCTTCCAACGGGTAAAAGAGGGAGGGAAAATGACACAGAGCAGAGAGGCGGGACTCTCTTTGAACTCAGAGGCAGGGAAGAAGCAATTGGTTAGTACTGGAGAAACTGACAGTCACCCCAGCCCAGAAAGCTCCCTCTTAGCCAAATCTACTAAAGGCAGCATGCGAGATTGCAAATACTCCTACAAGTTTTGGGTTGTTTCCCCTGCAAGGTGCAATTTCTTCCTTCCTTTTGGACTCTTGGGTAAGGTGGCTTGCTTTTTTCAGGTTTTTCTATTTGCTTTTTATGGAAGGAATGATTTATGACTGTTGTGTCCACTTTGGTAGCTATTTTGTGAGACCACTCACAACCCTCTCCAAATTTATAATAGGTCTGCTCATCCAAAACAACCTCTGGCTGGGTGCATAGACTAGCCAAAGAGTTTGATTTCTACTATATTTTTCTGTGTATAAAACAACACTTTTCTCTAAAAAATCGTTAAAGGAAACATTGAGGGTCATTTTTTACTCAGAAGTAAAGGGGGAGGGATCAAACCGCTTTGATCCCTGCTTCCCCCCTCCACGGTTTGCAAAGAAAATGGAGGGGGGAAGCAGTTTCTGCTTTCCCCTACATTTTCATTGCAGAAAGCTGCTTTCCCCCTCCAAGTCTTGCAAAGAAAATGAAGGGGGAAGGTGATTTCTGCTTTCCTCCTACATTTTCATTGCAAAAAAGCAGCTTTCTCCCTCCACGTTTTGCAAAGAGAAGGGAGAAGGAAAACAATTTCTGCTTTCCCTCTACATTTTCATTGCAAAATGTTTGCAACGAATGCTAGGGATTTTTTTTTTCATTTCCAAGGCATACCCCGGGCCTCGCGGAGCAAGGAGAGTCAAGGTAAAGCTATATACTTCAAAGTTATTCATCAATATAAGACTCAACTTTCCATTTGGTACATGGAATTATTGTTGCGGTGCCATGTTAGCGGGCCAAAGGGTTGGGGGAAGGAGTCGGTTCTCTGTTTCCATAAACTGCCAAAATGCTGGAAATTGTAGACAGGGCAAGAGCGGCTTTCCCAGTGCAGAAAGATCTTCTTTCCATCCACTTGTGTCCCTGTGCCGGACAGCTGCTACTTCAGTTTCGTATGACCAACAAGAGAAGGTGCGCACTGCACACATGTATGGAGCCCCGTGGTGCAGTGGTTAAATTGCTATTCTGGGCTTCGGTACCCGGGCCAAGGTTGACTCAACCTTCGTCTGAGGTCAGTAAATTGAAGACCCATCTCGATGGGGGTAGTGGACAATGGGAAGACTCCACTCATGACTTGAGTTCGTTCCTGGGCTTGGGTACCCGGGCCAAGGTTGACTCAACTTTCCATTTGTCTGAGGTCAGTAAATTGAATACCCATCTCGATGGGGGTAGTGGACAATGCATAGCCTGCAGAATTATATTGTAAACCACCCAGAGAGAGAGTTTTAAGTGCTAAGGGGTGGCATAGAAGCAGCACACGTTTTCCGTGGCCCAGAGTGGCTTAGAGTGCAATAGGGAATCCCCATGGTCTCTGTAGGGTCACGCAGACTGATATTAAATGTATTGTACTGTATTTCACTATGTCTTCCGCTGTATTTTATGGTATTTTGTTTTCCAATGTTCAATTTATTGGTGTTGTCTTACTTTGTTATTCTATTGTTTTCTGTCTAGTTGGTGTAAACCATCCAAAGTGGCCTTGGCAGCCAGATGTATAAATTGAATGAATGAATGAATGAATGAATGAATGAATGAATGAATGAATGAATGAATGAATGAATGAATGAAGGGAGGGAGGGAGGGAGGGAGGGAGGAAAGAGGATCAGGCACATTTTAAGCAATGACAACATGGTTCTGAGGTATAGCTGGATGCCCATCACCACACCAGCCTGCTTTCCATCTTGAAATTACTCAGATAACTATGCTTCTCCCGACTTTACAACTGTCAGTTTTGGCTCCTTGCTTTGGCATTAGCCAAATAACACAATGAACTCAAAACATAACCTGGAAGCCGAGAATACGGAAGGAGGATAAGTGGTTTAGGGCAGTGGTCTCCAACCTTGGGCCTCCAGATGTTCTTGGACTTCAACTCCCAGAAATCTTAGCCAACATAGGTGGTGGTGAAGGCTTCTGTGAATTGTAGTCCAAGAACATCTGGAGGCCCAAGATTGGGGACCACTG